TTTTTTTTTTTTTTTTTTTTTGGTACTAGGGATTGAACTCAGGTCCTCATGCTTGCAGGGCAAGCAGTGGAACCACTGAGCTAAATCCCTGGCCCTTGCCCCATGTCTTTTTGCAATTGGTTCCTCCAGAGAAGATTCCTTATGCTAATTGAGTCTCCTGGAGAGAGCTCTTCTTTTCTATGGTCTCTCCAGGAAAGATCTTATTGAAGCCACTGGTCCCGGAAAAGGGGATACATACATACATATACATATATTTTTTTACCAGTCCCAGTAGAGGGGGAATTTTCTAAGTTGCGATGAAGCCTTTTAGGTTAGTGGGGTCCCTGGCTGGGAAGAATGGAGGGTGCTCCAGATCTAGGCATGGCAGAGGGGAATGCTGGCCCTGGGTCAGCCGGGTGACCCTGGCTGCCCTTCGCCTCCGTGTCTTTGTGCCTGGAGGGCCCCTCGAGGGTGAGGACTAGGACAGCTGCGGGCTTCCTCCTGGAGGGTTTTCCTGAGCCTCTGGTCTACCCCAGTCCAGAGAGGAGGTGAGCGCCTCCTGCATCAACATGTACGGGAAGGTGGTCCAGAAGCTTCAGGCACCCTGCACGCAGGCCATGGAGGAGCAGCTGATCCACGCGTTGGTGCCGCTCCTGCTGATCATGCAGGAGAGCAATGCCAAGGTGGGCCAGGTGAGTGCACTCGGGTCCTGGGCCCCCTGCCGGCCTGGGCCCTGTGAGGTGTCACCCTTTACAGAAGCCAGGTGAGGGTCACAAGCCACCCACGGGGAGAGTTATTTATGTCCCATCAGGTCTGTTTTCCAAACACATCCACTTGAGGGTTCCACTTCAAAATGACTAACTTCATGTGTATATTTTGGAAGATGAGTCGATTTCCCAAAACCCAGTTTGACACACCTTTTGTTCTGGAACATCTTCGGGCCCTCCTGGAGTTTCACAGCTCTGGAATTCTCTTTCTGTTGGCCCCCAGAAGTGTGTGAAGACCCTGTTCCGCTGTTCTTGCTTCATGGCTTGGGAGTTGCCCAGGACAGCTTACAGCCGGAAGCCCTGGGACAACAGGCAGCAGGCAGTGGCCAAAATCTGCAAGTACCTGGTGAGCGCTTCCTTCGGAGTATGTGGAGGCAGGACCCGTCCTTCCCCTTCCTGCTTTCCACACCAGCATCCTGAGGAAGTTTCCACTACCACCTGTAAGTCGCTGGCTCTGGGACACCCCTCCCCGCTCACGTCTCTCTCCTCACCTCCTGTTCCCTCTCCACGGTGGACACCGCTGATGGCACTTCAAGCTGGACTGTCCCTTTCAAACATATGGCCTTCCCTTTCAATTCTGCTCTGTCCCTCTGGATCCTAAAGGCAGAAACCTAGAATCATCCTGGAATCCTTTTTCTCCTCACCTTCCACATCTGAGCAGTCATAAAAACCCTACGGATCTCTACCTGGATCTGTGTCTCCATCCCCATCCTTGTCCCCACTGTCTTTGCCCTTAGGTCAGGCCGTGGATGTCTCTCAGTTAAGCCAGGGGTCTAGCCAGCCAATAGGTCTCCGGCCTTTAATTTCATCCTCTGTAACCCATTCCCCACCCAGACCACCAAGGTGGTCTTTTAAAAATACTACGAATGGTTCTAGGGACGGGACCCAAGACTTTGCAAATGCGAGGCAGGGGCTCCCCACTGAGTCACACCCTGGGACCCAGCCAGTCTACAGGGTATCCCTGCACAAAGGGCCATGCCGGCTCTCTCATCTGCAACAGCAATAGCCAGGATGTGTTTCCTGCAAGGCCAGGCTCACCAGCCCTGCCCCCTGGGGGGCGTGTTCTAGGGCAAACAAGTGTGGGAAAGATGGCATGCTCACCTTCCTCCTGCTGATTCGCAGTGGTATGGGCACATTGAGGGCTCTGCTGAGAAAGTGTGCTCGTGTTGTTGAATTCATGGTTTCCTAGACTTAGTCGACCACAGAAACTCTTCCTAGGTGACACCTGTGAACAGCCTAAGGCAGGAGCAAGACATACACACACACACGCACTGTGAAGTATGGCACCGTAGACAGAACACGCAGCAAGTTTTGCCGTCTGGCCCCACTGTCCTTTCCCTGTTGTCAAGGGCCAGACGGGATTAGCGGGGAAGGTTTGGAGGGAGCTCCAATGGCATCACCACCTGTGGAAAGGAAGGGAGGGCTATCGTGCCATTTCGGGCAGTCTCAGCCAACCCTGCCAGGGGAATTCCAAACCGAGGCCAGAGGTCAGGCCATTATTATTATTATTTTTTTTTATTGGTTTGTTCTTTTGAGACAAGGTCTTGCCCAGGCTGACCTTGAACTCCTGGACTGAAGTTACTGGGACTAGAGGCACCTGCCACAATGCATGGAAGGGTCAGGTCTTTATACTCTGCATTCACCTGTTACTGGACACTGGCCATTCTGGGAAGGGACATAGCTGGGAGCCAGGCAGTTCTGGCCAGTCCAGCAATCTCCACAGCTGGGGGAAGAAATCCTTCCCACCCAAAGGGAGATCTGAGTGGGCATCCAGCACCCCACCTGGACCCCAAATAAATATGGAAAAGAGCAGGCTGTTCAAGGACTGAGAAAAGGGCTCAGCCATGCTGCTGTCAGCGATGCTTGATGTCTTGATCAAGCGCCTAGTGCTACTGTCTTCACTTCACAGAGGGCAAAAGAGGTCTGGAGGGGGTGCTTGGCCAGGGTCGCGAGTGCCCATATTGGTAATGGCTGGTGACCCGGCAGTGAACTAATGACATGCTCGGGTGGGGGACTGTGAGCTGGGCGCGACTGTGGCCCCATGGCAGGCAGGAATAGAGAGCTCCACTCATCACACAGGTCCTTCTCGCCGGGCCCTCCAGTTTCACAAGAAAAGCCTAGCAATTAGCTTTCCACTGTTGAAGCAAAGTCCCTGACATCCACAATTTAAAGGAGGAAACACTTAATCTGGTTTATTTTTGGAAGTTTCAGTACATGGTTGGCTGGCTACATTGCTTTTCAGATGGTGAGGCAGAAATACAATGGTGGATAGCTGGGTGTGGTGGTGGGACACACCTGTGATACCAGCTCTTGGGAGGCCAAGACAAGAGGATCTCTGTGAGTTCAAAGCCAGCCTGGGCTACATAGTGAGTTCAAGGCCAGACTGAAGTACATAGCCAAGACTGTCTCACAAAACAAAAACCAAAACAAAACATAAAAGAAAGAAAAGAAAAGAAAGCTCATGGTGGAAAGGCACAGTGGAGAAAAGCTGCTCAGCTCATGGCAGCCAGGAAGCAGGGAGGGAATGAAACAGCCAGAGAGACAGGATGGGACTGGGGACAGGATGTAGCTTTCAACGGGGACACCCCAGGGCTCTTCTTCCTCCAGCCAAGCCCCACCTCCTATGCACACAGAGTTAGGAACTCATAAGTGGATTAATCCACATTGCTGAAGTTAGCACCCCATGGTATAATCACCTTCTGAAAGTTCTACCTCCAAATACATGAGCCTTTAGGGAGATACTTCAGCATTAACCATAACAGTTAGAAACCTACATTTTTTTAGCCAGATGTGGTGGTGAATGACTGTAATCCCAGCACCTGGCAGGCTGAGGCAGGGGGATTGCCACGAGTTCAAGAACAGCCTGAAATATATAGTGAGACACTGTCTCAGAAAAACAAAAACAAAACAAAACACCTACATTCAAACAAATGAACAAAAAACATGCTACTGGAGATTGAACCTAGGGCCTTCACATTAACTTACATTCCCAACCCTTATTTAATTTATTTATTTAGGCAGAATTTTGCTCAGTTACTAAGTTGCACAGCCAAGCCTTGAACTTGTGATAATCCTGCCTCAGACTCCCAGAGTGCTGGGATCACAGGTGTACACCACCACACCTCTTTGACTGCACATATTTATAAGACACTGATTAGCCATCAGTTTAGCTCATTTTAAACACGGTGCCTATTGCCGCTCCGAGGCTTTGTGTGGCTTGTGGCTGCCAGCTTGCGATCCTTGTGGTAGAGCCCTCTGAAGTCTTACCTTGGGTGTGCTCCAAATACAGTGGGGCAGGTGGTATAAATAATTATGACACGTGGTCACAGGTGCCACAAGGCCGTGCAGGACACTGCAGAAGCATGGTGGGTGGCAGAGGGGCTCTGTGTGAGGGTGGTGGAAGGCTTCTAGCCACAGTGGCCTCTGAGCTGAGGGTGGAGGGGTGGGAGCAAATGGTCAGGTGAAGGAGAGAGGGGAAAGCAGGGGTGGGGGTGGCAGCCCCGTCCTTGGCCCTGAGATCAGATTTCTCTGCATCTTCCTGAAGAGCTAGTTAGCTGGACAGCTCCCACTGTCAAATCCACCCTGACTACTGCTCTCAGACCATTTTGCCCAAAATATTGTTTGTCCTGGCTCTGTCATGAGCACACGAGTAAGCCCCATTCCTGCCTGGCTTCTGAGCTCCTCTCCTCCCAGCTGCTCTGAACTCCAGTCCACCCCACCTGCTCGTACCTGGCTCCTCACCTGGAGCGTGGCTCATGCTGTGTCCCTGCCCATCTCCGGCAGGACCTGCAGTTTGGAACTGCCCCGCCAGCAGGCAGGAGCACCACCAAGGTGCCAGCTGCAGTAGCTAAGAGAAGATGCAGCTCGGCCTCTGGGGTCTCTGCAGAGGGCTGGGGAGCAGAGACACTGAGGAGGCAGGGCCAGGACCCTCAGCGTTCCTAGTTTCAAGAAGGTGTATGGGAACCGAGCCCAGCACTGTGGGGTTTCTCTTTGCCCAGGTGAACACCCACCGAGACAGCCTCTTCGTATTTCTCAGCCAGGGCCTGGAGTACGCCAAGAGCCCGAAGGCCTCCCTCCGGAAGTCCTCCGTCCTGTTCATAGGTAACCTGCCCCGGCATGTCAGTCCTGCACCTGGGAGCCCTCCTGCTCTTCGGGCTGACTCCCACAGGCTGCTAGCCATTTTGGCCTGAGGCAGATGCTTCCGGTGGGGTTGAGCCCTGGTCGGCAGCCAGCCAGAGAGCACATGAGGTAGCTTTCCCTCCTCTAAGTGGGCTGCAGTAGGATCCAGGCCAGGCCCTGGCAGCGTACACAGCTGAGCTGCCACTTCCCCTGAAGCACACAGGACACGTGTCCACGCCCAGCAGGAGCCAGGGCAGAGCCCCCTGGAGCACAGCACAGGGACCATGGGAAGGGTGGAGGGCCAGGTAGAATCTCAGCTCCATGACCCCAACTGGGCCTCAGTTTCCTCATCTGCAAAATGGGAATCAACTCCTATTTCACACATAAGTTGAGAATTTTTTTCTCAAGTTTTTATATTTATTTGTACACGTTCACAGTACCTACATCATGGAGATTACATGTACATTACACTTCTTAGTTCTTTTTTTTCAGGTTTAATTGAGTTTATTGGTACATTTTAGGGATACAGTACAGTTACATTCATTGTTGGGATCTTGTACCTTTACATGACGGTCTTGGTTCTTATTTTTTCCCCTTGTCCCTGCCCTCCCTTCACCCGCTCCTCCCCTCCCCATCTACAAGCACTTTCTTACCATCTTTTCTTTATCTCACATTTTTTTCTTTTCCCTTTTTACCCTTCCCCTATCCATCCCACCTTCCCTACACCTTTAGCCCCTTTCTTCCTATTTTCTTAGGTCTTTTTAAGTCCTTTTTCTCTCCTGAAAAATTTTTTTTTTTCTTTTGGTACCAGGGATAGAACTCAGGGCCTTGCACTTGCAAGGCAGGTGGTGGCACCACTGAGCTAAATCCCTGGCTCCTGAGACTATTTAAAAAAAAAAATGTAAGCCCCCCCACATCAAGGTCACCTTCATTCTTTTCTTTCCCACAATTCCATTCTCTGCCTTTCTAGGGGAAAAAAAAAAAAAAAAGCTGGACGTGGTGGTTCAGCCCTGTAATCCCAGCCCTTGGAGAGGCTGAGGCAGGAGGGTCACTGTGAGTTAGAGGCCAGCCTGGGCTACATAGAGAGTTCAAGGCCAGCCTGAACTACAGAGTGAGACATGAAGAAGGTGGGGAGAGGAAAAAATTCCAGCACTCTGGAGACTGAGAGCATCCCCAGAACTTGGGGGTGGCTCAGAGGAATCTTCTTCCATGGAGTGACATCTGCTTCCTAGCCGCTGATTTCTTTAAATCTTATTTCCCATTAATGACTCCTAACAGTGTGAGACTTTGACACCCTGTGCCAGGACCTGAGCTGTGAGTGATCCTGGTGCAGTAGACAGGCAGCCCCCATCACTGCTAGGGCTGTTTATCATCTTTTGGGTCACAGATTTTTTGTGAGAGTCTGAAGAAAGCTGTGAACACTTTCCTTAGAAAAATGCACATATGCATGCAATTTTAGGCTCCTTGGAGAATCCCCTCCCACTGTCATCCCCACAAGTGGATCTAAGATTTAAAGGCTGCTGGTCTGATAGGAGATGGAGATTCATAAACCACAATTAAAATATAACCCAGGCCGGGTGTGGTACCACACGCCTATAATCCCAGCGCTCGGGAGGCTGAGGCAGGAGGATCGCTGTGAGTTTGAGACCAGCCTGGGCTACATAATGAGTTCCAGGTCAATCTCAACTACATAGTGAGACCTTGTCTCAACCCCCCCATATATAACACTATATATATATATAACTTTATATATATATAT